TCTTACTGACGATGCCGAAGAAACATTTGGGAATGTACCACGTCAATGGTCCAATGCTGGAAATCACGAACGATATGGCAGAGGACACATGACTAGCCACGTTCAACAATGTCTCCGACCACTTTTCGAAAGCAAGGTTGAATCAACACAATTTAATTTTGACCTTGTTTTCGCAACTTGGTTATATTGGTAGGAAGACTTAGAGGAATACACCTAGTCCGGAGTCTATTGTACGCATGATTATTTCCAGTCGGACCATGGGCGTGGTACATTCCCAGACGTTTCGCCGATATCGCCAGTGAGTCTCGCCATTCCATACAACGAAAGGAGACTACGACCACACAAAGGACACACTATCTTGGTCTTCATACCTTCAATAATCTAATTTTACCGAGATGGCCAGCTTATCTCGGAAATATTGTAAGGAACATAATGTCTATAAATTTTTTAAGCATAATGAATAGGATATTTGCAAATATTTCTATTTTATTTTGGCATATAGCTACAATAAGTTTGAACAAGGTATTCTAATGCATCCTATTTTTTTGGTTTCTAGCGCTTTTGCTAGTCTTACTTTCCATTCATCAATTGCCTGCTCCCATAAATAAATCTGGTTTCGGTATTTGTGACTAAGGCGAAAATAGGCCTAGACATTAACCCTAGTCTTTGAGATCATTTTTAATTGGCTTTACTTTACACTAATTTATTTTCTATCTAATCAAGGAACGTCTTTATTATAGAAGAATATATATAAATATATGCAATGTTGATTTCCTTTTTTCTTCTAACTGATTATGTATCTGCCATATTTTTTTGGTTTTGTACTGCATACTGACGAGAAATATTGGCATGAAAAGAGTATTCATTTCATTCTTTAACTATCTTATAATGGAACGAACCCCATAGATATCTTGTAAACTGTTGCAGAATTTCACATATAATAACAAACAACAGAACTCACTTGATACATTTAAATATGCTCTATCTCATCATTAGACACTCTGCATACTACAGATGTTTGTTTCTTAACGATCTATAAGGGCAAGAATATGAACTATTAATTAATGTATCTGTGCTGTATATTTCCAAGCAATAGCAGTCGTAATGTACTTACTACTCACCTTAGCTGATGGAAGAATCTAATATGCACGAGATACCAGGTCTCATTCATTAGCTTGGCTTGTATAATTTATTAATTATTGCGCTATTGTAAGAACATGGAAAAAATAATTTTAGCTATTATATCTACTATACTCTCTATATTTTTTATTATCTTCCTATAGTGCGTACTATTCCTTATGCTCTTTCTGCTTTATAAGCCGTTGACTCTGAGCGTACCCATCAAGACTCCACAGCGAAGATACCAGGTTTCGCCTCCGCCAGTGGAGGCACTTTTAATAACGTACATATTGAGCAAGCACCCGTTACATCACCTACTGTCAGCGCCGCATCGATCTATCACTCAACGTCTCCTGGCGTTCATCCGAACCTCAATTTAGCTCAATCCTCTACTTCTATAGGCTCGCCATCCGAGGCCATGATTGGGATAGGGCCCCATCAAGCCGAGTTAATGATGGCGCCAAGAAAGATATCTGGACCGACAGACAAAACTGGACAATCCGGCTTTGGCTCTTCTACCGAGCCTGTCTAAACTTGGCTTGCTTAAATCCTGTGTCATGTCCCATATCCTTAAAGGTATTTATTTTTATCCATGCATATAAAAATCATATTATTTGGCACGCTAATAATGAACGAAACTTGATGCATAAAATCTCCATTTTTTGTACATACAACTACGGAAAGCTTCAAATTATGGCTATATTAAGTTAAATCTTAGAAGTTTTTAAAATTGATTGATAAGCAGATAACTTCCAGAAAAGATGGAGTATTACGCTTTGATTTTGTGTTTGCGTACACAAATATTCCTGTTCAGGAAGCTATTCAGGCTCTAGTACGAAATCTGGAACGACATCCAGTGATTACTCAAGTAATAAGACTGGGTATAGCCTTCATCCTTAGACTACCTATTCATGACTAGCACTAATTTTACCTTTGACGCCAAGTCTTATGACCAGACACAAGGACTTGTGATGAGATCTTGCTTATCGCCTATATTGGCGAACAATTATGTTGCCAGACTGGGGGAACACTTTTTGGAAGAGGCAATACTGACCCCCAAATATTTGGTTAGATGCAAGGATTATTATTTTGTCATCAGACTTTATGGTAAGGAAAGCTTAGATAGCTTTCTGATTTTCCTTAACCAACGTGAAAGGGTCATTCGGTTCATAATGAAAATAGAAAAGAATATGTTTTTATCTTTTTTGGATTCTTTAAGAAGAAGGTAAGTTACGAAGAGATATTTGTATGAAGTCAACATCTGCTGGCTCTATTGAATTTTTTCCCAACCCTAGTTACAAAACGAAGGTTACAATTTTGAAGTAAATGATCATTAGGATTATGAGACTGGCGGATAGTAACTATTTTATTAGTTTGAACGGCTCAAAGATTTATTCCTGGAAAATAATTATATTTTGGAGGTATGAAGACCAAGAAGGTGTGGCTTTTTGTGTGTTCGCATTCTCCTTTCGTTGTATAGAAATTGTTTGACCTTGTTTTCGCAGCTCGGTCATATTGTTAGGAAGAGTTAGAGGAACGAACCTAGTCCGGAGTCCATTGTATGCATTCTCTTTTCCAGAGTAGGACCCTAGACTTGGTACATTCCCAGACGTTTCGTCGGCATCTTTAGTGAGTCTCGCCATTCGTAGCACCATATTAAAACTCGTCGAAGAGACAAGTGAAGCCCATCCTTTGACCAAACTTGTGCTAAACAATTGTGGTATCTCCCCTTCTTCCCTGGGCTATTCACATTTCCCATGTCCTCCTATCATGCCTTCCCTGTCACAATTTTTACCG